AGCGTTATGTTTGGGGCAAATCCAACAACACATCACTGAGTGCCACTCTTCATATTTTCAAGCATGGTGGTGGCTGAATCATGGTATGGGTATGCTTGTCATCGACAAGGACTAGGGAGTTTTTTAGGATGAAAAGAAACGGAATAGAGATAAGCACAGGCAAAATCCTAGAGGAAATCCTGGTTCAGTCTTTTTTCCCAACAGACAGTGGGAGACAAATTCACCTTTCAGCAGGACAATAACCTAAAAACACAAGGCCAAATATACACTGGAGTTGTTTACCAAGACGACATTGAATGTTCCTGACTGGCCTAGTTACAGTTTGACTTAAATCAGCTTGAAAATCTATGGCAAGACTTGAAATTGTCTGTCTAGCAATGATCAACAACCAACTTGACAGAGCTTGCAGAATTTAACAAAGAATAATGGGCAAATATTGCACAATCCAGGTGTGCAAACCTCTTAGAGACTTACCCAAAAAAACACACAGCTGTAATCGCCACCAAAGGTGCTTCTACAACAAAGGATTGACTCAGGAGTGTGAATACTTATGTAAATTAGATATTTCTGTATTTCATTTTCAATACAACGCAAACATTTCTAAAAACACGTTTTCACTGTCATTACGGGGTAACTGTGTGTAAATGAGTGAGAAATTAATTCAGGCTGTAACACAACTTCAGCCGTGTAATTTTACATACAGTGCCTTCGGAAAGTATTCAGACCCCTTGACTTTTTCCACATATTGTTACGTTACAGCCTTATTCTAAAAAAAAATTAAATAGTAATTTTTCCTCATCAATCTATACACAATATTCCATAATGACAAAGCAAAACAGGTTTTTAGAAATGTTTGCAAATATATGAAAAAAAAGAAGGAAATATCACATTTACATAAGTATTCAGACCCTTTATTCAGTACTTGTTGAAGCACCTTTAGCTGTAATTACAACCTAGCGTCTTCTTGGGTATGACGCTACAAGCATGGCACACCTATATTTGGGGAGATTCTCCCATACTACTCCGCAGATCCTCTCAAGCTCTGTCAGGTTGGATGGGGAGTGTCGCTGCACAGCTATTTTCAGGTCTCTCCAGAGATGGTCTATCGGGTTCAAATCCGGACTCTGGCTGGGCCACTCAAGGATATTCAGAGACTTGTCCCGAAGCCACTCCTGCGTTGTCATGGCTGTGTGCTTAGAGTTGTTGTCCGGTTGGAAGGTCAACCTTCGCCCCAGTCTGAGGTCCTGAGCGCTCGGGGGAAGGTTTTCATCAAGGATCTCTCTGTACTTTGCTCCGTTCATCTTTCCCTCGATCCTGACTAGTCTCCCAGTCCCTGCCGCTGAAAAACAACCCCACAGCATGATGATGCCACCACCATGATTCACCGTAGGGATGGTGCCAGGTTTCCACCAGATGTGACGCTTGGCATTCAGGCCAAAGAGTTCAATCTTGGTTTCATCAGACCAGAGAATCTCGTTTCTCATGGTCTTTTGGCAAACTCCAAGCGGGCTGTCATGTGCCTTTTACTGAGGAGTGGCTTCCGGCTGGCCACTTTACCACAAAGGCCTGATTGGTGGAGTGCTGCAGAGATGGTTGTCCTTCTGGAAGGTTCTCTCATCTCCACAGAGGAACTCTGGAGCTCTGTCAGAGTGACCATCGGGTCCTTGGTCACCTCCCTGAACAGGGCCCGGCTCCCCCGATTGGTCAGTTTGGCCAGGCTGCCAGCTCTACGAAGAGTCTTGGTGGTTCCAAACTTCTTCCGTTTAAGAATGATAGAGGCCACTGTTTTCTTGGGGAACTTCAATGCTGCAGAATATTTTGGGTACCCTTCCCCATATCTGTGCCTCGACAAAATCCTGTCTCGGAGGTCTACGGACAATTCCTTCAACCCAAATTGAATTTACCACAGGTGGAATCCATTCAAGGTGTAGAAACATCTCAAGGATGATCAATGGAAACAGGATGCACCTGAGCTCAAATTCAAGTCTCATTGCAAAGGGTCTGAACACTTTTGTAAATAAGGTATTTCTGTTTTAAATTTTTAATAAATGCTTTGTGATTATGGGGTATTATGTGTAGATTGCTGAGGAAAAAATTTATGTAATACATTTTAGAATAAGGCTGTAACGTAACAAAATGTGGAAAAAGGGGGAGGGGCTGAATACTTTCCAAATGCACTGTATATACAGTTGAAGTCGGAAGTCTACATACACCTTAGCCAAATACATTTAAACTCAGTTTTTCACAATTCCTGACATTTAATCCTAGTAAAAATTCACTGTCTTAGGTCAGTTAGGATCACCACTTTATTTTAAGAATGTGAAATGTCAGAATAATAGTAGAGAGAATGATTTATTTCAGCTTTTATTTCTTTCATCACATTCCCAGTGGGTCAGAAGTTTACATACACTCAATTAGTATTTGGTAGCATTGCCTTTAAATTATTTAACTTGGGTCAAACGTTTCGGGTAGCCTTCGACAAGCTTCCCACAATAAGTTTGGTGAATTTTGGCCCATTCCTCCTGACAGAGCTGGTGTAACTGAGTCAGGTTTGTAGGCCTCCTTGCTCGCACACGCATTTTAAGTTCTGCCCACAACTTTTCTATAGGATTGAGGTCAGGGCTTTGTGATGGCCACTCCAATACCTTGACTTTGTTGTCCTTACGCCATTTTGCCACAACTGTGGAAGTATGCTTGGGGTCATTGTCAATTTGGAAGACCCATTTGCGACCAAGCTTTTAACTTCCTGACTGATGTCTTGAGATGTTGCTTCAATATATCCACATAATTTTCCTTCCTCATGATGCCATCTATTTTGTGAAGTGCACCAGCCCCTCCTGCAGCAAAGCACCCCCACAGCATGAGGCTGCCACCCCTGTGATTCACGGTTGGGATGGTGTTCTTCAGCTTGCAAGCTGCCCCCTTTTTCCTCCAAACATAACGATGGTCATTATGGCCAAACAGTTCTATTTTTGTTTCATCAGACCAGAGGACATTTCTCCAAAAAGTAAGATCTTTGTCCCCATGTGCAGTTGCAAACCGTAGTCTGGCTTTTTTATGGCAGTTTTGGAGCAGTGGCTTCTTCCTTGCTGAGCGGCCTTTCAGGTTATGTCGATATAGGACTTGTTTTACTGTGGATATAGATACTTTTGTACCTGTTTCCTCCAGCATCTTCACAAGGTCCTTTGCTGTTGTTCTGGGATTGATTTGCACTTTTCGCACCAAAGTTTGTTCATCTCTAGGAGACAGAACGCGTCTCCTTCCTGAGCCGTATGACGGCTGCGTGGTTCCATGGTGTTTATACTTGCGTACTATTGTTTGTACAGATGAACGTGGTACCTTCAGGCGTTTGGAAATTGCTCCCAAGGATGAACCAGACTTGTGGAGGTCTAAAAAAAAAAATCTGAGGTCTTGGCTGATTTATTTTTATTTTCCCATGATGTCAAGCAAAGAGGCACTGAGTTTGAAGGTAGGCCTTGAAATACATCCACAGGTACACCTCCAATTGACTCAAATGATGTCAATTAGCCTATCAGAAGCTTCTAAAGCCATGACATCATTTTCTGGAATTTTCCAAACTGTTTAAAGGCACAGTCAACTTAGTGTATGTAAACTTCTGACCCACTGGAATTGTGATACAGTGAATTATAAGTGAAATAATCTGGCTGTAAACAATTGTTGGAAAAATGACTTGTGTCATGCACAAAGTAGATGTCCTAACCGACTTGCCAAAACTATAGTTTGATAACAAGAAATTTGTGGAGTGGTTGAAAAATGAGTTTTAATGACTCCAACCTAAGTGTATGTAAACTTCCGACTTCAACTGTATATATATTTATATTCCGGACTCTGACATTGCTCGTTCTGATATTTCTTAATTTCTTTATTTTTCACTTTTTGGATTATGTGTGTATTATTTGGTATTGCTAGGTATTACTGCAATCAGAGAAACAGCGTTATGCCAGTGTAAGGGCTGAGAGGTTGAGGAGGGTGTGTGAGTGCGTGTGCCTGCATACGTGTATCTTACTTTTATCACATTTCAATGACTCCTCCTGAGCCGTTTGACTGATAGCCTTTCACACTGTGAGGGTCTTCATCAAATATTTAGTGGTGGTCATCCCTGATCCCTGCATGGCAAGATACAAATATTTCTCTCACATCATATACAGTATACTTTATATCAGTCCATACAACACATTATTATTATTTTATCAAGAAGCTGTGGGTTGCCGTAGACAGGGAAGAAGGCCTTGTGAATCGGGCAGTGATCATCCAAAAGAAAGAAAGATAAAGAAAAAGAAAGACAATAAATGATGCTTGGCATTACTTTCAGTAGCCTCTGCATTGTCCCCACGACTCCTCTCTGCACGGTGTCTTCAGTAGCAGCGGGGGACCGTGGGAGCACTGTACTCAGCAAACCTGTGGCTCTCTGAGGCCAAGAGAAATAACAATATGCAGTCAGTGGGAAAATAAACAAAGTGAGTGGGGAAAGAAACAGAGCAGTCATCTGCTAAATGGCATATTATTATTATTATTATTATTATTATTATCAACACCCGCTGTTGATATTCTGTCACATTTAATGACCCAGAGAGTGAGATCCTTATTGTCACACTGAATTTCAGAGAGAGAGAGAGAGCATCTCGTGAATGTATGTCGAGAGAAGTTTTGAATAGTTTTTAGCCCCTTGAGAGAGACTGCTCAGACCAAAATGTGGTGTTCTTTTACGTGTTCTAATCATAACTTTTCAATGCCTCAGAAAACATGCTGACGACGAAGCAGGAATTGGGTATATCTCTAAAACTAGTAGCTACACATAAAAAAGGTATTGTTTCGTTTTGTTTCTCTCCAAATACCCATCTCTTCCATCTTAGTTTGCATATGAAAAATGCTTGCGATATGGATAGAGCATGGTAGGCCAGAAGGGCAATAGAGAAGTGTCAATGAGAGATGCAGTGGTATTGGTCTCATCAGTAGAACTGCGTCGGGGCCCTGTGGTGCTAGGTGGTGAGATTCATACCACTCACTGTGATGATGCCCCCGTCGGGATCACTCAGGAAGCCCAAGCATACGCCACTGATGGAAACAGCATGCTCCTGCAAGATAAGCGAGAAAGGTTACTCAAATTTTCACTCTACATTTCACTTTTTCATAGGGGTGCTTATGATTATACCAAAGGGGCTGAAACAAAAGCTCTCAGTGCTCTCTTTGTTCTTGTTCTTCCACTCACCTCCCTCCCTCACTCTTCCCATCGAATTGATATGTTACCCTTATATGTGGGCCAAGGACTAGTTAATCACAGCCCAACTCCAAATGGCACCCCTGGTCAAAAGCAGTGCACTATTTAGGAAATATGGTGCTATTTGGGAAACGCACAGCCTAACAGCCTATCGTACCTGGATGGCTGTGGAGGAATTACCGGAGAGGTTGATCATCAGTCCCAGGAGGGGATAAAGGATCTCTCTGTCTTCACAGTGAGTTCACCACTCCTGTAATAGAGAACCACAATAGAGAAGATATGCTACAAATCACTTGCCTATGCTGTATGTGATGTAGCCAACTCTGTACAATAAGCTCCTACATGACAAGGAACAATGGGCTACACAGTGTATATAGTATGGGACACGGCCAATAAATCACAGGAGGCTACAAACACAAATCAGTATTATATAATTTTGCATGAGTCATGACATGCGGTACCATATACGTCCCGTATTATCGGCATACGATCCCCAGTTATTGGCCACCTTACTATTTTGTTCAATTACAAGTTTAATTTAGTTCAAAAAAGAGACACCAACCACGTACCCGAAGTGTTTACTAGATAGTTGACTAGTTGGCTAGCCTTCCGGTAAAAAAAACGTAACTTACAAAAATTGCAATGAAAATCGGTGGTCAGCTAGCTAGAACGGTGTCTTTAGTCACAAAACTTTCCGTTATTTTCCAGTCCATTTAAATGTTGACCTCGAGGTGACTTAGTCCACCAACCGCTAGAGAGTGTCCGAAGTTAGGGGAAAATTAGCAACATTCTTATGAAGTCCAAGATTAACTCCTTTCTCTCAGCTGTGGAGGGGGTATTTGCCAGACAGGCCTGGGTCTGTGTTCTTGTTTGGACTGAAAAAAATGTAGAAAATAAAGAACAATGGTTACATTTTGTAAATTAAGATTACTCAGGTTGAGCGCAATAGCAGGCCTATAGTGGATCGCAAGCTTTGAAGCTAAGCACACTCTCTCCTGAAGCGACACATACACAGACACACACAGTTCATAAACCTGACAGCAGTATGTCTCACACACAACGACATTTTCAAACAATGATAGTTAACAAAAAATAGTGGGAAAAAAGTCACAAAAAATATGTCTGTGACTTGCTGCTTTTGTAATTCCTAACTTGTCACTTGTTGTGATAGCTCCATCACGTCACTTTGGCTAACTTGTTAACGTTAGCTAGCTAACATTACCTCAACTAAGTTAGCTAAATGACGTGATGGAGCTGGAGTGACAACATGGGAAGCTTGCCAGTACAGTCCTCGTACAGTTCAGCTGGAAACTCCCTGGCCTGTTCCTGGCTGTTATTCTGGTCGCCAAGTGTTTACTCCTCAGCTCCTCTGCTGTAAATCTGGGCATTTTTTTTGTTAGATACTTCTCTCCTCGGACATCTGTCATTACTTCACGGCGCTGTCTGCACCCTGCACCTCTCACTCACACAGGGGAAGGGCTACAATGGGTAGAGTGGGCTAGGCCTCTGGCTTTTTCTTCTTCTGTGGGTTTTATGGTGGACTACATCCAAAAGTTGCATTGCCGCCACCAACTGGACGGTTTGAAACCACAAACTATATAAAAGAAAAAATTAAACCATACTTCATAGTGATACTAACTTACTCCACCGTAATAAAAATAGTACATTGCCAAAACAAACAAAACTCTTTTAGTTCTCTATATCTACCTTCTCAGGCTATAGGACCTGATAGACTGGTACGGCTTTTGACAATATTCCATGTAACTCTTTTGCTGAGAAATCTTTCAGCCCCAGGAACTGTTCCGCCACAACCACAATTATTTATATCTTCCTAGATCTTTTCTCCACCTTGGCAGTGCCATTAATCACCATTGCTATAAAGGCCACAAAGTCCACCTTTTTAACCTTTAAAATGTCAGGATCATCTTGGTGAAAGGCAACCCCTGCAGCTTGCATTGAAGGCCTATCCACCACCATGGACTCTTCAGGAGCACCATTCAAACTCTCAACCCTTTTAACCACTGCTGCATAGGAAATGCTCTGTACAACCCTAACTTTGGCCAATTCATTTTATTTCACCCTTGTCGGGCATTCAAAAGACGTGGCTTCATGGTTCCCACCACAATTGCAACATTTTACTTTTTCATCACTTTTATAACACATTAAATGATATTTTCCACAACTTGGACATCTCGGTTTCTCCCTTCTGCAAACCCTTGACACATGACCAAAAGCTTTACAGTGATCACACTGCATTGGTCTTGGGATAAATGCTCTGACTTTATAGTTTATATACCCCAACTGCACTTGACTAGGGAGAGACTCCAAATCAAAAAACAAAAGAACAGATAAACTCGTCACTTTTTCATCATTCAATTTTTTTTAGATTTGCTATCAGCTGGCAGCTTATTCTTAGCTTTAGAATCCTATTAATTAGATTTGAAATTCATCGGATTTTCATCGGAATTGTAGCGGGTGATTTGGACGGAGTCAGGCGCAGGAGGTGTAAATCCCAGAATAATAGTTTATTCGGCCAATACATCGGATCGCAGCAATGCGTAAAACAACTACAGTGCGACTTAATGGGGCACTGGGAAAAACAAAACACACGGGTGAATATCCCGGCGATAAAGTACATAATGCTCCACCGAGCTATCGACACCTCCACATGGAAACAATCACACACAGACATGGGGTGCAGAGGGAATACTTATACAGGGACTGATGAGGAGATATGAACCATGTGTGTGTAAAAAGCAAGACAAAACAAATGGAATGATGAGAAGAGGAGCGGCAGTGGTTAGAAATAAATAAATAAATAAATTCATTAAAAATCCTACAATGTGATTTTCTGGATTTTTTTTTCTCATTTTGTCTGTCATAGTTGACGTGTACCTATGATGAAAATTACAGGCCTCTCATCTTTTTAAGTGGGAGAACTTGCACAATTGGTGGCTGACTAAATACTTTTTTCCCCACTGTATAATAATAATTATGTCCCTCCCAACTTCTAAAACCAAAGTTGCGCCACTGAGAATTTGTATGGATTTTTTCCTTTGAAGTGATAGCATTGTGATAGCATTGTTCTCCAAACACTGTCGAAGGCTGCCGCCGAAACATATCCATTTGTTCTGACATCTGCTCCTAAAAAAATACATTAAAACATAAAGAATATTTCAGTGAGTGCGGGTTTTTCCCTCCAAATAATAACATCCACCATTTTGTTACGAAAAGCTATTTATTGCATTAGCTACAGTGTACATATTTGTTTTCTGTGGCAAAGTTCTCCAAAATAGCTAACGCTGTGGTTTCCAGCTGGCTCTGTGTGGATATGCACACCATCAAGTTTCCCACCAACCTGCAGAGTGGTGTGAGAAAGACGAACATTTTCATTAGCACTTTTCTTTAAGCCAAGACAATTATCCAACTTGCTATGTCATTGTTTTAATGATTACATATGATGGATGACACAATATTCTGAATAGCAGGCACCGGTAAGTGCAAATGCAGCAAGAGAGCTGATGTAAGACTAAATACCTTCAGCAACAGGGACAGTTCCAGTGACAGTTGTAGCAAAGATTGAATGTAATCATATGTTGCATGCAGTTTGAATCGATTTGAATGCTATTTGTCAGGGGATGATAGTAGGCCTACCTTAAATGCAATAGCAACAATATAATTGCACTTGCCTCCTTAATTGAGAGATTTTCTACATCAAATGCATTTCCCCTATTTTGACATTGGCACAACAGGTTTTGGATAGCTGTATAATTGAATGGATAGCTGTATCATATTTTATCTTGGTAACAAGTTTTCATGAATTTTGGTGTGGTAAAAGGGGCAGTCTGGGATTCAAACAACAAAGAAGTGGTCACCCCAAATGGTTGTTTTAATCATGTTTTGAAGCTACAAAGTGTGAGTTTACAATTACATTGTTTACAAACAATGGAGTAAAACAAGCTTATATTTTGTGGGTTCTGCAAAACATGAGGTATGTATAAATTATATTCTTCAAGAATCAATGGCTATATCATTCATAAAAAATGGATGTACCAATCCCAGATTGCCCCTTAAGCACATATTGCTTGTGTAACTACAGAACAAGTGGGCACTTAATAAGGAGTTGGCAAAAACGGATGACAGGCAGAATAACGACAAAACAATGGGATACTGGAAGTCATTTGGCATTTGATGAATTTTTTTCTCACCATTTCTCTTGACAAAAAAATCTATGTGCAAAAAAGACGAGAAAATATCACTCTAATGTCTGTCTACAAACCATTTCCATCGCAAATCACCCTCCACAATTTCAGTATGGATTTGCATAGCTCCTCTGCGCATGGCGCTGTCGATTTCTGCAACAAGCAACTGAAAATAAAGAAACCCAATTGCATATTTTTCTCATTACTTTGTGCTGAAAACTTGAACCACTTTCCTGACAATCTGTGCTGGTCTGAAATATGACCACAAGTCCAAAACGCTTCACAAGAACAATTGTGGTCGACTTTAGGTTAATAATAACCTATCTAATTTGACATGAGGGAGTCGTGATTAGTGTCTCACCCCACATAACACCTACTATATATAGTACATTGCGTGGGGCACAGCACATTACAGGTTCATCCAAATCTCTAAAGGAGCTCATTCTATTGTGGCTATATTTAACTAGCAACTAACAGAAAGAGAGTGACTTTGAAAGACAGCATCTCTTTGGTTTGAAAAACTTTTTGGGTCCATGGTTTGCTCTGACTGTCCCTAACTCCAGTCAGTCAGTCAGGGGCATCTCTCGAGTCTCTTTACCCTCTTACGGTGTCATTGGTTTGGATGATACTGAAGCCATTGTTTAATCGGAACAGCGTCTGGCCAGTGCCTGGTAGGAAGAGCAGATAACATCAGGACTGGGAGGCCTTTCCCTACCTCAGTGAGCCCAATACATCATCACAGTGTGCCCGTGGCCAGGCTTCAGAAACACATTGCCTGGCGGTCAAGGGCAGGAGAGAGTGGAAAAAATTAAACTAATCCAGAGCCAAAGGTCCTCCTCTATTTCCCTCATAAAGACGATGAGACCGGGCCTGTGTGCAGAGAACATGTAGGAGAAGAGGGAAAAAAAGATCTGCCAAGGTGATTTGGTGGCGAGAGAGCTGGTAATGCTAAGCAGGTCGTTTCTACACTCTCCTTGGAGATGTTCAACTGTGAATTATGTAACGTTTGCCCTTTCATTGAATGACATTGTAAGACAGTCAGTATTACAATCAGTAGATCATCTGACGGGTTGTATCCATCCATATGAAGAGGGAAGTGAAAACCCAGACTGGAAATGTTAGGTAGTAGTCTACCATTGACATCATTGATTATTGTCACTGATGGTCAAGTAGTTTGTTCTAATTGATACTGGTAGTTCACACATATTATGTAAATGTAACATTATAGTGGGAACATGTGTGCATCTTAAAGGCTCAGTGCAGTCAAAATTCAGTTTTTCCTGTGTTTTGTATCATATTGTATAGCAGCTGATGAAACTAACACTGTAAAAGTGTGAAAAAATGTGATCAGTGTTATTTCCTGTTGTTTGAAAATACAATTTACACAGGACCTTCTAAGTTTTGGCTTGCCTGGAGACATCACCAAGTGGTAAATTGGTTATAGACCAATTACAAAGAGAGTTCCATACCTCTCTGCCACTCCCAGACAGTCCTAGCAAAATTTTTGCTTGAGAAATAGTTTTTTGCTAAAATATTTTAATGGAAAACATTTACAGTAAGGTACTTAATTGTTACCCAGAAATTATTTGATATTGATATAAAAACAGCTGCATTGGGCCTTTAAATTATGTCAAATGTGATAAATCTGTGACACCTAAAATGTCAAATGATTCAACATAAAGGCTTGTATACACTAGCTACTGTGCAGCACTACACCATTTTTGCACAAGTCATCCAGTACTGTACCTCTGCATTCTACACAATCTGAGATGTTGGTAATAGAACAGCTCCCAAATGGATGCTTGGATTGTAAACACATATTTATTATTCCACTTCCGTGTGTCCTTTCCTTACCTAGTGCCTCGGCAGGGCAATATTGGGGAGTTTGCTGAACTGTGACAAAATTAACCATGAAGAGAAATCAATACTGCAGAGGGGTCAGGTCAGGTCTTCCCTTCTGGATTTTATTTTCAGAGGATTACAAATTGACCATAACCAACACAACAAACATTAGGTCTGTGCAGTGATTTGAGCTCCACACAGTTTCACATTTCTTCAGTAACTGTAGATTAACTGCATTTTTCAGAGTCGACTACAAGAACCATGAATAAGAGAAACCCACCTGTCAACGCTGTCCTCCCTTGACCTGAAGGAGCATCCATTGACATCCATTTGGCCTACAAGATAGGATGAGGGTTGGGGAAGCGAAGCGAGAAATAACATTCACCTACACTCACACAGGATTTGGAGGGAGGGGGAAGCTCCCAACAGAGTACTCACAGTCTGTAATGGCGTGTGACAGAAGATTGAGCCCTCCGCAGTAGTATAGCGGGAACTGATCGGGTCTGTCCAGCTTTTTCAACAGTTGGAGCACTGTCGTGGCCTTTTCTTCTCCCTTATCAAACTCCTCCCAAGCTTTGCTTTCCTGGCATTCTCTTTCTTCCTCCAAATCCACTTGGGTCAGATACTCTTGAAGAAGAAAGGAGAGAACATGGGCTCAGAGACAGATGGCTTCTGAGGAGCCTAGCATGGGGTAACCTCATTGCGGTGGATCAAAGGAGTGTAGGACAGTATGACAACCGTTTCATAATATGCATTCATATGTTGTAAATAGCATCATATATTGTAAACAGCTAGTAGGGCCACAGATTAGAAAGGATACAACTTTCAAGGAGGCAACACAAATGTTCCCTAACCCTACTGAATTAAAGGTACAGTGAGGGAAAAAAGTATTTGATCCCCTGCTGATTTTGTATGTTTGCCCAGTGACAAAGACATGATCAGTCTATAATTTTAATGGTAGGTTTATTTGAACATTGAGAGACAGAATAACAACAAAAAAATCCAGAAAAACGCATGTCAAAAATTTTATAAATTGATTTGCATTTTAATGAGGGAAATAAGTATTTGACCCCTCTGCAAAAAATGACTTAGTACTTGGTGGCAAAATCCTTGTTGGCAATCACAGAGGTCAGACGTTTCTTGTAGTTGGCCACCAGGTTTGCACACATCTCAGGAGGGATTTTGTTCCACTCGTCTTTGCAGATCTTCTCCAAGTCATTAAGGTTTCGAGGCTGACGTTTGGCAACTCGAACCTTCAGCTCCCTCCACAGATTTTCTATGGGATTAAGGTCTGGAGACTGGCTAGGCCACTCCAGGACCTTAATGAGCTTCTTCTTGAGCCACTCCTTTGTTGCCTTGGCCGTGTGTTTTGGGTCATTGTCATGCTGGAATACCCATCCACGACCCATTTTCAATGCCCTGGCTGAGGGAAGGAGTTTCTCACCCAGGATTTGACAGTACATGGCCCCGTCCATCGTCCCTTTGATGCGGTGAAGTTGTCCTGTCCCCTTAGCAGAAAAACACCCCAAAAGCATAATGTTTCCACCTCCATGTTTGACGGTGGGGATGGTGTTCTTGGGGTCATAGGCAGCATTCCTCCTCCTCCAAACACGGCGAGTTGAGTTGATGCCAAAGAGCTCGATTTTGGTCTCATCTGACCACAACACTTTCACCCAGTTCTCCTCTGAAACATTCAGATGTTCATTGGCAAACTTCAGACGGCCCTGTATATGTGCTTTCTTGAGCAGGGGGACCTTGCGGGCGCTGCAGGATTTCAGTCCTTCACGGCGTAGTGTGTTACCAATTGTTTTCTTGGTGACTATGGTCCCAGCTGCCTTGAGACCATTGACAAGATCCTCCCGTGTAGTTCTGGGCTGATTCCTCACCGTTCTCATGATCATTGCAACTCCACGAGGTGAGATATTGCATGGAGCCCCAGGCCGAGGGAGATTGACAGTTCTTTTGTGTTTCTTCCATTTGCGAATAATCGCACCAACTGTTGTCACCTTCTCAACAAGCTGCTTGGCGATGGTCTTGTAGCCCATTCCAGCCTTGTGTAGGTCTACAATCTTGTCCCTGACATCCTTGGAGAGCTCTTTGGTCTTGGCCATGGTGGAGAGTTTGGAATCTGATTGATTGATTGCTTCTGTGGACAGGTGTCTTTTATACAGGTAACAAACTGAGATTAGGAGCACTCCCTTTAAGAGTGTGCTCCTAATCTCAGCTCGTTAACTGTATAAAAGACACCTGGGAGCCAGAAATCTTTCTGATTGAGAGGGGGTCAAATACTTATTTCCCTCATTAAAATGCAAATCAATTTATAACATTTTTGACATGCGTTTTCTGAATTTTGTTTGTTGTTATTCTGTCTCTCACTGTTCAAATAAACCTACCATTAAAATTATAGACTGATCATTTCGTTGTCAGTGGGCAAACGTACAAAATCAGCAGGGGATCAAATACTTTCTTCCCTCACTGTATATGAATAGAGGGTACATACATTTCTGATTAATCAGGAATAATCACATCCCTGAAGATGGTGGGTTAGCCTAGGCCCTAGGGTTCCCCTACTGGCGGTGATTTTATTTGGCCCTCCAAGTTTTATGAGCCCCAAAAAATAATATATATATATTTATTTATTTATTTAGGAACATAAAAAACACCAGCAAATCAGCTCCAATTGATTTTAATTTAGAAAATCTGTTCCAAAGTATTTCCACGCATAATAGAGATATTTGTGATCGTATACAAATGTAAGCAAGGTTTGAAATTATTATGTTTTAGTCAAATGTTATATCTGTTTGAGCTTCTTGCAGTCAATTTGCAGCCTACAAATGATTTGTAATTATGTTCCGGCCCTCTGAGCATCCGCTCAACAAAAAATAATCTAGTTGATGATCCTTGCCCTATGGTTACATGGGTCATATATAACCCCTTACATAGTATGACTTTGCTGAGTTTGCTCATAAATTATTTGTGAGGCATCTATGTAGTGTTTATGGAGATGTTATGAATGCTCAATAAAGCCTTTATAAATTGTAGTTTGTTTAAGTGGGACCATGAGCGAATCTGATTAATAGACTTCAGTAGCCAACAAAACCTTTCAGCGTGTTATCTGCCTTACCTTTGACAATCTTTTCCCATCCTGGCTCAATTTCCAGTATCTTTTGATAGCACATTTGCGACTGTAAAAGAGAGATATGTAAATTACGTTTCCTACACCTCCCTTTGGTCATGTGATCAGCTGATGCACTCTACCCAGAGCCATAGATCAATATATGTGACTCTGGTCTCACTAATACACACAGACAGAGAGTAAGCAGAAATGTCGAGACCATTAAATAAATAAATGCATTTTAAATATTGTATTAAGCAGAATGCTTGCAGAAATATATTTGCTGAAGGAAGGATAAGCTTAAAAGGTTTCAAAATATGCATTTTAGGAGATCAATATAAAGTTTGAAGAGGCAGATAGGCATCCAGAATGACTGAATACAGTTGTAGGCTGTTTTCTCTGCAATGCAGTTAGATATGATTCAAATGAAATGTAATGATGCCCACCTCATTATAATTCTTGAGTGCCAGGTGTGCTTTAACACACTTCTCATTACACTGTAAATAAATAATATGAGCAAGAGAATCATACGTCACATGTCAACTGAACATATAATCTGCAATATGGACATCATTACAAAGAAAATGTGCCAAAACATTTTCAATTGCAAATGTACTAAAGCATCAATGTGTCCAAATATGGTATTCACTTGAATTAGGCCAAACCCATTGTCCAGTTAGTTTGTATGTTTTTCTAAATAGATTGTCCTCAAAGGTGAGCACTGACTGTTTTTGTACTGCTTTTATTACCGACTCTAAGGGGATATGCAGGACTCCAACCCACATTCCTCCCCTCTCCACACCACTTGTACAGTTCATTGCTGGCTGATCACTGTACTGCATGGTCTGTTCTGTGCTCCCAGGACAGTACAGGATCACAAGTGCACTGCCTGGAATGAAGTTATGAAGAATGAGGGAGCAAGTGATTGACCCAAAGTTCCTAGTCAACCTTACCTTTAGAGCCAACTCACAGTCACGTATAGCCTCTTCATAATTATCCAGTTTGATATTCGACTGCAGACGAAAAAGTGGGGGAAAAGTGGACAGATGGTATTCAACATACTGTTTTTAAAAGGGCAAAGTTAAGTAAAGTGAGGCGAATCTGAAATTAAGTACTTGTGCTCTGTTGGTATACAGCGGTTGCATGTCTCGTTGCTTGTCTAAACTGTCGCTATGAAGCTTCACAGCTCCCTAGTGTTCTCCCTGGGCGTATGCTTCGTTCCCCTTTTCTTTGAGGGCTGAGGGAATAAAGACATAAACAAATACAGTGTCAGGTTAAAATGAGCTGACTTAAGAGAGACCCTAATTAGGAAATTGCAATGAAGAGCTAATCCATGCTAGAGAAATGTCTTCATACACACCATTTGCCTTTTCCTGTCTCATTTGTCTCCTTTTATGTCTGTCCTCTGCATCTGTTTCCATGACTTTCATGAAATTATCTTGAGAATTAAGGAGAATATAAAACAATATTCTTAAACAAGTGTTTTACATGGAATGTAAACTCTAAATTTATAAACATTCGTGGGTCATTAGTGGTCAGCTGGTCATGTAGTAGTTCATTCATGGAGTTGAATTTTGCCCTCCCTAAATGATGTGAAATGTGACGGGAATCCAATGGGGTTTACTCTATTCCACTCTTTGTAACAAAGTACCTGTACAGAGATTCAATTTTACACTAGACACAGAAGAGGACCATGTCAGAACCAATTAAAATGAATTGCAATTGAAATGGGACTACATTACATACTTTTCAGGGGGGGATTTAAAGAGCACTAATTGGATTGTGAAAGATAAATTATTTGGAAACATAAAAACAGGCACAGAATAAGTTAGTGGAAAAACAAAAAGAACTGGTGAAATGTATTCAAGAAAGATCAAGTGTAATATATTATAATAATAAAGCAAACTGGATGGAATATGGGGCAAATTATTTTGTAATCCTCAGCATACTACCAAAACAATTTACAGAAACTTGTTACAAATTACGAAGTCATCCATGATTCACCAAACAATATTCTGAACGAGGAATCAAAGTACTTTAAGCATATGTTTTCGTTTCAGTCTCCTCCATCTCCACTAACTGAAGTTAATTGTAAGGATTATTTTCTATTAATAGTGTAAAATTAACAGCTGTACAGAAAGACTCATGTGAAGGCCAAATTACAGAGGAGGAACTTCTTGATGCAATTAAAGCCGTTATGTCCGGGAAAACTCCAGGGCTGGATGTACTCAGAGGTCCGTTATTAACATGTTTTAACCACTCCTATAAAAATGGTAGACTATCAGATACTCAGCAAGAAGGTCTGATTTCACTATAACTGAAACATGACCCAGATGGTAAATATAAAGATTCAGTCCACCTAAAAAACTGGAGGCCCCTTACACTTCAGTGTTGTGATGCAAAGGTATTGTCTGATATTATTCATCCTAATCAGGATGGACGATACATTGGAGATAATATAAGACAAGTACTGGAAACAATAGAACACTATGAAAAATCTGGGAAACCGGGCCTGGTATTCATAGCTGATTTTGAAAAGGCCTTTGATAAAGTACAACTAGAATTTATATATAAATGCCTGGACTATTTTAATTTAGGAGAATCTCTTATACAATGGGTTAAAGTTATGTATAGTAACTCAAGGTGTAAAATAGTAAATAATGGCTACTTCTCAGAAAGTATTAAACTGTCAAGAGGAGTGAAACAAGGTTGTCCACTATTATGGCCATCGAAATGTTAGCTATTAAAATTAGATCCAACAATAATATCAAGGGGCTAGAAATCCAGGGCTTAAAAACAAAGGAGCCATTTACTTATTGCCCTGCCTACACCAAACGACTTGTTTTTAAAATGATATGAGCAAAAGATATTCCACTTTATTTGGAATGGCAAGCCAGACAAAATTTTATTGGGCCTATTTATATAATGAATATGAATTCGTAGAGCTGAAATTATTAAATATTAAAGAATTAAACCTCTCACTAAAGGCTTCAGTCATACAAAAATTGTATTTAAATCCGAACTGGTTTTCCAGCAGATTAGTAAGAATGGCTCACCTCGTGCCTTTTTCCTTTTATTCAGATTACAACCTCTCACTTTCGGTTATTTGAAAATGAAATAATCTGCAGAATATCACTATTTTTAAAACAAGCCATAGAAAGCTGGTTGCAATTTTAGTTTAATCCACCAAAAAAGACAGAACAAATATTACAACAAATATTATGGTTAAACTCAAATATACTAATTAAAAGAATATATATATATATACACTACCGTTCAAAAGTTTGGGGTGACTTAGAAATGTCCTTGTTTCCGAAAGAAAAGCTATTTTTCTGTCCATTCAAATAACATCAAATTGATCAAAAATACAGTGTAGACATTGTTAATGTTATAAATGGCTATTGTAGCTGGAAACGGCAAATTTTAATGGAATATCTACATAGGCGTACAGAGGCCCATTATCAGCAACCATCAGTCCTGTGTTCCAACGGCACGTTGTGTTTGCTAATCCAAGTTTATCATTTTAAAAGGTTAATTGATCATTAAAAAACTATTATGTTAACTATTATGTTAGCACAGCTGAAAACTGTTGTGCTGATTAAAGAAGCAATAAAACTGGCCTTCTTGAGACTAGTTGAGTATCTGGAGCATCAGCAATTGTGGGTTCAATTACAGGCTCAAAATGGCCAGAAACAAATAACTTTCTTCTGAAAGTCGGTAGTCTATTCTTGTTCTGAGAAATGAAGGCTATTCCATGCGAGAAATTGCCAAGAAACTGAAGATCTCGTACAACGCTGTGTACTACTCCCTTCACAGAACAGCGCAAACTGGCTCTAACCAGAATAAAACAGTCAGTGTTGATTTCGGGATGTAAGACGGGGATGTAGTAGTTTGCGGGGTTCGAATTGAACGACTCACTTATTCAACAAGAATAGTGGGGGGAGTAAAATAATTACTTTTGTGTTGCCGAATGAGTTGATAGTTTAAGAACTACTGAGAATAGAGCTGTAATGTGGACTATTGAATTGAAATACATGGAGTCTAAGGATAACCTCCATTATGGAACTTGGTGGAGGGAGAGGTATGGGTTTGAGGGGCGTCTAGACGCAGACAAACTTGAATCCATAATAAAACAGATGCACAAGGTGTGTAGAGATAGAGTAGAGAGACAGCGAGTAGAGGGGCTAGACACTGCTAGGGTGTGGCTCTCTGAAGCTCGGAAGAGAGAGGTAGGTCAGAGAAGGAAAAAGGAGGTTATGCAAAAGGAGGAAGAAAGAGAAGTAAAGGAGAGTGCCTCCCCCAAAGCAGAGGGCAGAAAGGTTAGATCCAGTCCTGACAGAACAGGCTTGGAAAGAGAACCCAGATGATGAGGTTGTTGTGTGTAGAAGAAGATTAGGACAGGTCCCCTCACCTCCCCCGCCATATGACGGCCAAGCCGGAATGTTGGAGGAGGAAGGAGCAGTGGGGGGGAGGGGTGAGACCAGTAAAGTGTGTGTAGAGGGGAAGAGGGGGAGAGCAAGATAGAGAGAGAAAGCGAGAGACAGAGAGAGAGAGAGAAAGGAGCTGGAATGTGGTAGGAAAGGATTGGGCAGCTGAGGAAGGAGACTGGACCTCAGGAAGGGAGCACAGAGTTATTTTACAGTGGGATCAGACGATAGAAAGTGTTTTAATTGTGACAAAACAGGACACATGGCAAGGGAGTGTAAAGCTCCTTCCAGGAATGACAGACAAAGACATTACCGCGACAGACAGAAAAGACAGAACAAAAATAGAAAGAGAGTGGAAGGTAACAGGAATAGAGGGGAAGTAAGTGAAGGGAACTGAATATTTGATGGCCACATTGGGAAAGTTTGAACCTCAGGAAGGAAGCCACATTTTTATTTATGTAGATGATATTCTATTAACTAATCCCACTCAAGAGGGATGTAAGAAAGATACACTCCAATTGTTATCCTTTATGGCAGAACAAGGACACTAAGTTAGCAAAAGGAAACTTCAACTCTGGCAGAGCGAGGTGATTTACGTAGGACATACCATAACTCAGGAGGGGCGAACATTAAACTC